TAATTCGTCACGATGAGCTTCATTTCAACCAGCCGACCGTGCCCAAATGGCGAATATCAGGTAATGAGAAACCAGTTGATTTTTTCCATGATTTTATCAATGATAATGTGCTTGAGCTCATGACAGTACAAACCAACCTTTATGCTGCCCAAGAACGTGCAAAAACCCATGAAAAACACCATAATAAATGGCATGAGGTGACCAAAGATTTGCCTTGAATTTGGCTATGGGACTTGTAAACAAACCAACACTTGCAAGTTATTGGTCAACAGATGAGATATTTTTTACACGATTTTTCCAGAAAACTTTTCCAAGGATCAGATTTACTCAAACACTGAGATAATTGCATTTTGTTGATAACACAACACTTGCTGTTAGAGGCGAGGAAGGCTATGATAAGCTGGGCAAGATACGTCCATTTTTAGAAAGTGTTATTGGCCGATTTCAACATGTCTATTCACCAAGTCGTAACTTGTCTGTTGATGAAACATTAATCAAATTCAAAGGTCGTCTTTCTTGGAGACAAATTATGAAGGATAAACCTGCTAGGTTTGGGCTGAAAGAGTTTACTCTAGCGGACTCTACCAATGGTTGTGTCTTGGACATTATAGTTTACACTGGAAAAGAGAATGCCGTAGACTCTAAAAGCTTAGCGGAACGTGTTGTCCTAAGGTTGCTTGAACCATACTATGGATTGGGCTACAACATTTTTATGGACAATCATACATCCGTTGGACTATTTGAGAAATTATACAACAATGGAGTCCAAGCTTGTGGAACATGTAGAGGTGGCAGAATTGGCTTGCCAAGAGATGTCACAAAAGCAAATTCAGATAAAGTTAAAAAGTTGAAACGTGGAGAGGCTATTCATAGGCAAAAAGGGACTGTAACATGTGTTACATGGAAAGACAGGAAGCCAGTAACTCTTATAACAACACTGCCAGCATCAGTAGACACAGTTTCTGTTGAAAGAGCAATTAGGGAGGCAAATGTGTGGCAAAGAAAGGAGTTTCGGTGTCCTGTACCCATAAAGGAATACAACTCGCTCATGGGCGGGGTCGATTTGGCTGACCAGAGAACCACAGCATATGCCAGATTGATGAAAGCATGGACTTGGTACCTGAAACTGTTTTATCATCTACTAGAGGTATCAATTCTAAATGCATATGTTTTACACTGCTGCATTCATGGCAAGCAAACATCAATGATGCAATTTCGACATGATATAATCCAGGGTCTCCATGGGGGCAGAACCTACAGGCATGATTCGC